GATAGATAGTTGAGGGCTGACTGGCACATCTGCTCGGCTGCTGCACTGTTCTCTTAGCGATCTTGCAAATCGATGAGGGATCCATCATTGGGGACGCACAGTGCAGAGGAGGAGAGCAAATCACTTCTATAAGAGATAGCAGCTATCAGGCAAATGGGCAGAAAATGGTTCCTAATGGTGCCTGGTATGTCTGGCGTAAACTGCAGCCAGCCTCTTTGTCGTCCATCACCCCGGAGCATATGTAACCGAAGGAGGGGAAGGGAGAGGAAGAAGAGGGAAGCATCTGTTCGTTCAGCGTGGGAACCCCTCGGGGGGGGCGACGCGATAATCTTGGTTCACGTCAAACCGAATCCGGTGGCGACGCCGTGTCGCTTTACCGAGTCTGTGTGTCAAACAGCGGAAGCCACTCAGTCGGCAACCCCCGGCGGGTGACCTTCGCTCGGCCGGCTCCTCCGCCGCCTGATGGGATTTCAAAAACGCTCGCTCATTTTCTCCCCCGGCTTTGTCAGAATCCCATCGGTAATTGAGGCGCGGTTGACTCGAAACACCGGGATCACGAAAGACGAACGAGTCCAAACCCCTTCTCCGTCACTCGAGTTTGACTGGACGGTAACAGTTGGTGCTGAGTAAACAAGGAAGTCTTTAGTTTAGATTTGACCATTTCAATTATCCCCCCTCGTGCCCAGACTGCTGTTTTCCCAGAAACGGTAATCACATTCACTATTAATGAGCCATGATGTTCATTCTGGACCCATTTACTCCTCTCAATAATGCATACTCGTTGGAATTGCCGATGCATATTCCACAAAGTGCCACCTCTCCTTCTCGGTGCCCACCCCCCTCCATATATAAGGGTATCGGTAGTGTTGTGGTTGCTGTCTGGCCTCAGGCTTTCTCTGCATGTACTCCAGGAATTATGCTTTCCAGGGAACCGGTGTGTCCTGTGTGACTCTGACCAGCGCTGCCTGCTGTGCAGAGATAATGAAGCAGCAGAGGAAAAGGTGCTAACGCACTTGTTGAAGGACCTCCGTTCTCTTCAATTAAGCATCCCCGTTCCTGTCTGACTGTGACTCTAATAGGCTCTTCGGTTTGTTGATCTCTTTAAATAAGACAATTGACCACAAATTGCATACATCAGTGCTTCGATGTGATTTCCACCCGCGGCAACGTGACTGTCGTTAAGAGCGGCAATTGTGGCATCAGAGGCCACGTTGGTTTAAGAAGCTCCATAAAGCAGCTCCTCCTGTCAGAATCAAGTCATATAAAACAGCAGCAGTACAAGAAGACATGAATTTAACTGCGGTAGAAGAGAGAGGGAAACAATGATAAAATATTTCAGCTGCATTCAAACTACGACTCTGTTGCTTAAATTCCCTCAATGTTCTTTAATTAAACCCCCAAAAAACACATCTCTGCATGTCAAAGTTGCACATTTAGAAGGTTTTTCTATGAAAATGATCCTCTACCTGCCTTTTAAACTGCTAAGCTATAATAATAATAGATTATTAACCTCTTCCCTGCAGCTCGAGCACACAGCTCACCCAGAAGATTTGGAGTAATTCAGACAAACATGTCAAAACTGGAAACCAATTCTGAAGACAAATAATAATACGCTGTAAAATAATAATAATAATTTTAACTGTAATTTTTTAAGCAATGTACTGCTTTACAAATGTTTCCTGCTTTGTTAAACTACAGATAGCATTTAGGACAATAACAGCAAAAAGGTACGATTTTACATGTTGTAAAAAAACAAAATAAAAGGCTAAAACTGGACATGATGTTTTACTATATACAGTAATTCATTCTTTTGCAATGTTTGACTGTAAAATTTCACTGTTTTTAGATTGTATTTAAATCAACAATTGCCAGATTTTTATTTTTTATTTTTGCAGTATTCAAACAGCCTTTTTCTGGCATGCTTGCTGCCAGATTTTCTTCTTTTTTTATTTTTTAAAATTTGATTTTTTACAGTGCAGGAAAAAAAAAGCACCACTCTGCAACTGGTTCTTTAGGTTTGTTGGACCCTTGAAGTCTGAATGTTTGTTTTTAAGACTGTCATCAACACAAAGCCGTGGTGCTAGCTGCTTATTTCGCTAACTGTGTCTTATAGTATTTTTTAAAAAACAATTCCATGTGGACACGTTAAACAGGACTCCGTATTAAATCTGGCACAAGCTTGTACACAAGGAACACATCTGTCCTTCAAAATGAGAAGATGCAGCATTTCTACGTACTTTCAGGAAGTCCCTAAACTTGCTCTACAATTTGGATTAGAAGTAAAATTTCAGCTGTAGTTTAGTTAAGAGTAGCCCAGTGGTTCTGATACTTTGGGGTTTCACCTTCATGTACACGAGCCTTTTGAGAGGAACAGCAAGAATCTCAGCTCCTCTAAGCTTCAGAATTTATCTTGACAACAGTTTATTCTGGGTTTAAAAATTCTCTTTGCTCTTCTTAATCCACTCGAAAGATATTTCAACTGAGAAAACTGTTAACGCAAGGCTACGCTTCATGTATTGAGGATTAATTTCATTTAATGCAGAATTTATGACACTTTAGTTGTGAATCCGCTGTTTCAATTACGCATGTGTGCTCGAGTCCACTGCTGCTGATGAAGTATTTACATGCTCTGCTAAGTTTCAAGGGTAAATATACAGATTTTTTTGTTAAAAAGTCTTGACTATTTCTTTTGAACCCTATAAATCTTGTTTTTTTTCTTGTCATTTGTGATTTTGTATTTCCAAAACATGGAACAACATCATGCATTTGGTTAAGAAATTACTCAGAATTACAAACCCAACCAGAAACATAATGAAACTGCTTTAAAGTTAAGTAATATCACTAAATTATTATTAGCAAATTAGCATGAAGAAATTAAGTTGGGGTAACAGCTGAAAATCTGGTATTTGGACGTGATGAAGTGACTGCAGTCGGCAAATATGTTGACAGTCTGATGTGAACGGTGCGTCTTCCCTTAACAAGTGATTATTAATTAAGAAACAGAGGAAAATTCTGTCTTATTCTGAGTATGTAAAATCAAGTAAATTGGCCACCTCCTTTGCTGCACCCCTGCATTTACGCCCATAGGTGCCCCTAAATGCAGGGGTGCAGCCAAAGAGGTGGCCACCTTAAGCTAAGGTTTAGCCACCAAACAGCTAAACGGTGTAATGTTCTGACCCTGATGCAATTTAAATTGCAATAGCAACAATTAAACAAGCATAACTTGGAGCAGCAGTTCCAGGTTTTTATGTTGTTGTTTAATTAATTGAGGGTTACGAGTCCTCGTGGTGTTTTCCCACATTTCTTCCTGCCTGCATGAGCAAATAATAAAAGTAAGTGGCCGGACAAATTGCCTATTAGGCCACCAGAGATTTTTCATGCAGAAAAAAAAAAATAAAAAAAACATAACCAAGACATCAGTTTCTGTGCCGCCCCAGTGTGAGTCACGGTCCCAGCCTGACCATCCTCATCAAAGCTGTCTGGCTCTGTTTAAAGTTATGCGTTTTAAAGTGAACACAGATGAGTATGGCTGCAGCCCGAGGAGGGATGGCTCTGTTTGTAGGCAGCAGGACAGACTCGGTGAGACTGACAGCGGGTGGTGGGTGGATGCTGAGGGTTGGAGGGCTGTTCAGGAGCATGGCAGGACTCCTGCAGTGGAGGGGAGTGAGTCAGCAGAAGACTGGCGCGGGAGAGGGTGGGTCAAAGTGTGGCGACGGGACCAGACAGGGGCCAGGAAGCACATTATGGGGGTTTGGGAGGCAGGTCAGGCTCGTGCAGGTCCGTGAAGGGGAACGTGTGGTTCTGTTCTGGCCGCGGGACCCGCTCTGCTCTGCTTGTTGCCAGACCTCCAGCCGAGGTCCGTCACCCACACTCTCCCCCTCCTGCCTCACCCGCCTCCTGCCTGCACCGTCTCTGTGAAGGTGCACTGAATACCGAAGAGCCAGAGGCTGCATGGCTGCTTTACAAAGGCTGCTCTTTTCTCTGTCTCATGCTCTCCTCGTTCTGTTCTGCTCTACATTCCTCCGTTCGCTCAGCTCCCGGTGCCCTCTTCCCTCGTCTCGCTTTCTTCTCTGCACCTCTCAGTCTGCCTCTCCATTTCTTCCATCCTCACCCCTGCCTCTCTGCCTCCCACCCTTCTCCATGTATTTGTTTCACAAAACCCTTCCATCTCTCCTCCCCTCTCTCCCTCCAGAATGCATCTATTATTAACATACACCTCTGGCTCTCGCCGAAGACTCAACCAAGGTTCGGGCCAAGCTCCTCAGCATTTTAATCACCCATAATGAGCGAGAAATAATGAATAAAAGTGGCTGCATGCAGCCTGTTTACGTGACAGCAATTAATTCACGTCTTGCGTACTGTATGTGCAGCTCATCATCGCATATTTTCTCAGCCCAACGTGCTGCATCCCTCGAGGTTTCCCGCTGCGAGAAGCAAACCAGTGCATGTTGTGTGTAAAAATCAATCAGGCACCAAAATACACAGTGAATCAGAGCTCGTATTCCGGCGGATAATGCATATCATGTCAGCGCTGCTCTCGGGCGGACGTTACCGTAGCCGTGGAATTAGTCGTGCACGGGTTCCCACTGCGGAGGTCGTGTTTAACCTCTCCTGCGGCAGGTTTCTGCAGTGGCACATTCGAGCCGCTGTCATACGAGTTGTGCGGAGATGTGCAGGCTGAGAGTCGTCCCCGGTGACTAGCATGGCCTCTTTTCATCATCCGCTTCCCTCCTTCTCTTTGAACAAACACAAGGGCCCAGGGCAGGGATCTGTCAGAGGTCCACCACTTGCAGAGAAAAAGGGGGGAATTATGTTGCTGCAAGACGGCTGAAACCCCAAATTCATTACCACTCGGGCTGGCTGAAGTAAGAGGATGCAGCTTTTGTTTTGTTGTGAGACAACATTACAGTGCGGCGCGGAGCAGAGAGGGCTCCTCTCTAATTGCGATGTGGGGGGAAAACACACAAGGCGAGCTTGGAAATGAGATAAATCTGAGTGCGTCCCTTTTATCACTGGTTTATTTATACTGGTAAACATCAAACAGAAACAACAGCAAAATCAAGAGCGGACGTCCTCCCATTCTTGTGATTATCGTTTCTCTTACATCGACAAGTTAATTTACAATGGTTGTCATCGGCGTGACATGATAACGTCAGTAAGTAAAAAATATGGAAATGAACCGTGTTCCCGCTCACACGTGATATCTGATTACTTCGTGCACCTGTCACGCCGTCGCCCGCTCGCTGCAATTGTCACTCAAATCGGTCACGACAGGAATCCTATCAGAGCTGAGTCTTTATGTAATTATGTGATAAAAATGTATCGATTCAAACCGGAGGGCAGTATTAGGCTGTGCCACGAAAAAAATGCTGCATTGTGCTGTGTCTGGGAGCGTCGGCATGAAACCACGGAGCAGCGTCTGTCTCCTACATTCTGTTCCTACACCTCTGGGATGTAAAGCACATTCGTAATCTCTCCAAACCATCGCCAAGGTAATTAAGACATGTCACCGTCTGTCTGTAGCGCTGGAGACAAGAATCGTGTTCGGAGTCTACAGAGATTGTATCACTTTAAGTAACAGGCAATGAGACTGCGAGTATAATAACCTCATCCCCTGCGTGATGTTTTCTTTGTTATAATACAGTATGTCCAGGTTACTGCATTCAATACCACATGAACACTTAGGTTGTACTGAGATATACAGTATCTCACACAACTAAACATTTTTGTACATGAACTTGGTTTATACATCGTTGTGCCTTTCAAAGTTTGATCAAACGTCGTTATAAAGAAGACTTTGATAGGTTATAAGGTAGAAAACAAATGTGAAACATTTCCCGTAACCCTGTGAGCCTGCCTTCCCCCAGATACACCGGAGAAGCTTTTACAGGTTCCTCCATAAAGAGCACCAAAGCTCGAAAACAAGGCATAAAATCCCTGCCTGCTCCGCGACGGGCCGCAAATCCAATCCAAGGAAAACAAGACCACGCAGAACTTGAAATCATAAAGTGCTCTCCAGAAGCCACTCGGACCTGGAGAGCTTGTCTCTGGCCCGGTGAATGTTTGTCGAGCCCTCGAGCTGCGGCAGCTCGCCGCTCATCGACAGGCTGCGTTTGGACCGCAGGCTGGCGCCGGTTTTGGGGTAGGCCACGTAGCAGCGCTCCCTGTATGAGTCTGCGTTTAGAGAGTGCCTGCGGTTCACCCTGGCCGCCCCTGCAGGCACAGTCATGTAGTGCCGAGCGGCTTGCTGTGGCCGCGGGCCTCTGGGAACCGCAGTCCATTTGGTGGGCTGGCCGGGTACGGTGAGGGCGATGGCGATGGCCATTTTGACCTCAGACGAGTTATTCCGGTTCATGTTGTCGAGCTCGACGTCGACCTGCGCTTCGGCTCGACGAGACTCCAAGCGTTTGGGCCTCGGGGCGCCGGGGGAGGCCGGGTGCCAGCTGTGACTGCCGGCCGAGGTGGAGACGGTGCAGTCGGGGACGGAGGGCTTCGTGGAGGCCACGGCGACGGGCGGTCGCTGCTTCGTCGGCTCCGGAGGCGGCAGGGACACTCGGAGACAATCCTTGTCATTCTTCTCCGGACGCAGAACCTGCTTAGAGAGGGACTTGGGAATCCCGCAGCCTTGTAGCTGTCCATCACTGCTCAGCGAGCGGATATCCCCCATCTCTAGTGCCTGACATGACAGGAGACAAGCACAAGGGGAGAGGGGGAATGAAAGCAGATACATCTACGTCTTTCCACACCACAGACTGTATGTAAAAGATGGACGTAGCAACCGTGACGTCTCCCACGGGTTCACGTTTTGGAGACTCGCCATCTTGGTCCTTGAAACTGAAGATGGCAAGTCAGGAGTGAAACTAACTGAGTTCTAGAGGATCTGTCAGTCAAACGGTAGCCCCAAACTAAAGTACAGGCTGCTTTACTCGAAGTCTCTGAAAATTAACATCATACTGACTAGAACGAGACTCGAAACTATCAATTGAGACCATAAACTCATTAGAAAGTTATTATTTACTGAGGTAACAGATCAGATGAGAAGTAGATTCATTCTCTCGTAGGCCTTTTCAGACATAGACTATTTAACTCTGCTCCGTCATCAATCTGTTAACCTGACGTACTCTGTCGTTCAGATATAGGTCACTTCAATGTTTCTCAGAGCTTCACACCGTGACAGAGACACACGGTACAACATTTGTCATACATTAAACAGTTCATCAACTGATACATAGCACATAATAATGCATTAACAAACAAAAGACAAAATCTAAACTAATAGCAGCCTATCAAACTGTCCAAATAACTAACAGCCTAATTTATTTATATTATTAATATCCCGACAGCTGCGATGGAGCTCAGGACTCCACCTGAGGACGGCGGCGGCTATGAAACAAATGATTTACCCGCAGCTGATAAACTGAGACTGTGTGGCTGCGCTCCAGAACTCGTACTTCTGATTTTTTTACCTTCAGCAGCTGCCCTTACAGAGTACGTACGGCTTCATGCAGGATGCATGCATCAGGGGACATACTACTCTGTCATAATGTTTCGCCTTTAAGCTTTTACCGTCTGTGGTGTGAAATGAGCTGCCATCTGTCCACTATGTATGTGATGTACCTGTGCAGAAGAACAGCCAGAACAGAACGCCGGCTGCATACTTTTAAAATCTGATTGGATAAAAGTAAGACATCCTGGTATGTTTGGAACGCTGCGTTTGGCATACTATGTACTGGAACATACTAAATGTTGTTCTGGTGTACCATACAGCATGGTTGTTAGATCCTGATCCATCCTGCCTCCATGTTGTGGATTAAAATGACTGCTGTTGGAGACTCTCATATGGATCCTGCTGCTGTTTAATGCAGCAAACATTTAATAAACTCAGAGGAAAGGCTCCTAAACAGCTGGAAGCAGCAAGCTGAACTTTGGCTCATGTTAGACAAAACCTGGATTACATTTATTAATCAGATCCGTTACAGAATCTGTCTTAAAGTTTTATTTTTATGGACATTTTAGTTTGAAATAGAGCAAAAGCTTTATAACAGGTTGCATGTTTAATGATTTTGCAGCTCTCTTTTTGGATGAACGTTGGTGTTCAATCGTGCAGAAAGCTTTCCCTAAACCACCTACACAACTGGAAGTAACTGCACAGAGGATTGTGGGTCACAATTGTCAGAAAAACATGTCGGCTTACATGAATCCTGCTGCTGTTTGTTGCTGCAGATATTTAATAAACTCAGAGGAAAGACTCCTAAGTAGCTGGAAGCAACAAACTAAACTTCAGCTTCTGTTTTTCAAAACCTGGATTACGTTTATTATTGGTGAGTTTAAGTAATCGGATCTGTTACAGACTGTTTTAAAGGCAGTAAAGTTTTATTTGTATGGATATTTTGGTTTAAAATAGAGCAAAAACTTCATAAAAAGTTGCGTGTTTAATGATTTTGCAGCTCTGTTTTTGGATGAATGTTGGTGCTCAATTGTGCAAAAAGCTTTCCCTAAACCACATACACAAGTGGAAGTTACCGCACAGAGGACTGTGGGTCAGAACGGCCAGAAAAGCATGTTGGCTTACATGAATCCTGCTGCTGTATTTAAAAAAAACTCAGAGGAAAGACTCCTCAACAGCTGGAAGCAACAAACTAAACTTCAGCTCCTGTTGGTCAAAACCTGGATTACAGACTGGATTTACTATTTTTATGGACATTTCTGTTTGGAATAGATGCTAAATTGTGGCGCAAACAGTCTGTAAAACGTGTTTAATGATTTCACAGCTTTCTGTGGATGTTTTTGGACCAACATTGGTGCTCAAACGTGCAAAAAGCTTTTCCTAAACCAACAATTGTGATCTTGCATTGCTAGATGCTAGTTGCTAGATGGTTTCCGTTGCAACTTTTCTGCAAAATGGTGCTCTATTAGATGCCAGCGGATTAACATAAAAGTCTGAAAGGAGCTATATATTTTAGCACTAGAGGAGTCGCCCCCTGCTGGCTGTTAGAGGAAATACTTTTCAGACCCAGAGGCTACATCCATCTTTTACATCCAGTCTATTATCAACGCCCATGTTTGAAATAATGCACAGAAAAAAAGAGCAAAGACACACCTTATCTGCCTCCCCTTGGTTGCACACCCGGTAGCGCACGATGAGGAAGATGATGAAGGCGAGCACCGAGGCCACGATGATCCCCCCGATGATGACCACGATGGTGCCGCCGAGAAACTGCGACTGCATGAAGTGGCACCTGAGGTACTGCGGCTCGGTGGTGAAGTGGACGCAGCCGATGACCCTGGTGGCCGTCAGCGCCGTCACCTGGTCGTCGTAGATCGCCAGCACGCACAGGTCGTAGTGCGTCCCGGCCGCCAGGTTGTTCACCAGGATGTTCTTGCTGGTCGGGGGAATCATCCTGCAACAGGAGAGCCGCATCGGAGGAGGTTTAACGGAAGGAGACGGGGAGCTAATCTGATTATCTGGCTTATTGTTTTTGTAGGGACAACATGACATGACAGTCATTTATCTCTCAGGAGGCTATTTAAGATCTGTCGAGGTTTAATCTTTTGCGACATTTGATTTATTCCCTCCAACATCATGAGCGATAAAAGGTTTCTGCGGGGCCTCCGTTTGTTCCCCACATCAGGATTACAACTCTTTATAGCGCCGGAGTTCGGTGGCCTCTGCTGAAGCTCCATGTGTGACTTCGTTTATGAAGAAAAAAAATCAGTGAAACGATCCTATCACAGCGATTAGCAGTAAATACGGAGCGAAAGGGGCCGGAGATGAAAGCGTGCGGTGTTCCTCGGACGGGCATGCTCCATGCTTTTTGTGAAACACTGGAAGACTGCTCTTTCATCTTCCTACGAGTCCGTCGCTTAGTGCTGACACTCTGTTTTGATTTTGTTGATTAAGCATTATCAAGCTTCTGCGCCGAGTGAATGATACTCTCCAGCGAAGGGAGGGTGGGGAGGATTATGAGTCAAAGAATAAGAAGTCAGACACAGTGCATTAGTCTGTCTCCCTGATAGGATTAATAGACGCCGCAAATAATCGCGTCGACAGCCAGGTCCACTTCTTAATGACTGAATATCCAAAGAGATTTAAGCATCCAAAGGAGGCCGTGAAGGTAAAACAAGGATCAAGAGATTAAAATCGGATTCGGTTTATTTGCACGCGTTTAGATTTAAAGTTTGTTTGCCGGATTAAAGCGTCGAGCAGAATACATAAAATAATAATGATCGATCAGTCGACTGGAGCTGCAGGTTTAAAAGTGAAGTGCAGAGAAATAAGTTGGATTACATGAGTCACTTATGCAGTTATTTAATTTATGGTTTGTAGTTTTCATTAATTGACATAACTTTGACGTTAAAGAGTATTTTTGGGAGAGAAAAAAACAAATTAAATTGGTCTTGAGTCAAGTTGAAAAGCAATTTAAAAGAGGAAAGCTGAAAACTTCTTTTAACTAATTCCAAAGACAAAAGCAATAAAGCTGAGCAACACGGCAAAATGTTTAATTTCAGTGACTGCAGAGAGCTGTTGATCGTTATTAATGACCTAGTTTTCGTAAAAGTCAGCAGAAACAAAAAACGACTATTTATCAAGATAAAGAAGCAGCTTCAGTGTTACACACAAATAGATGCACCCGCATAGATAAATAATACAGGACTGATCCCACTGTGGTCCACGTTAGATGAAGAAAGCAGGTAGAAATCCACTTTGAGATGATCTGATATCAATGAGACGCAACAAATAAACTTAAAAAGAAGCGTAGCGACTAAACAAAGCCGCCGCACTGAAGTTAAGGTTTCTAGCGACCTGGACGGAGGTGATGGCGGACTGCTGCACCACGGGAGACCTGCACAGACGCCCGACGGAGGACGAAATGATCAAAGAAATAAGGAAAAGAGACAGTTTGAGCCAGAGAACGAGCATGTTTGGGGTTTGTTCGTGCAGTTTTGTAGGTTTGTAAAAGGTTAACTATCAAACTATTGTCTTATTGCTGCTGTGAATGATTGTCGTCTTATCGCCTAATATCAAGGTTCCTTTATCCTTTTTAAATGTTATTTATTCATATATTTGTATTTTTTAGAGTTAATATCAAAATTATTACCTTAATAAACAGCCCAATATGATTAAATTCAAATTAAATCTTTTTTTTCAGCTGTTCTTTATTAAAAATAAATATGAATAATTCTCAATATGGATTAAAATAAATACGAAAGTATTTTATTGAGATAAATTTCTCAGCTATATCATCCGGCCTTCATCTTGTTTTTACAATTAGTCATTTATTTACACAGTGCCCATAAAAGGTGTTCAGTGTTCCTCTTTTATCGCTTTTCAACACTGAATCCATTAAATTTTGCTTTTTTTTGGCAAGAATTTACCAAAAAAACGACTCTTTCATGTCAAAGTGAAATCAGATTTACACAAAACATGTTCACCCACTTCAAATCCATTCAGTTTATTCCTGACGTGTGAAACCTGCTGCATAAATAAACAGGGACTCGATTGATTTATCATCAGCTGACACTTGCTTCAGCTTGACGTGTCTCGTTAACCTGTCGTCTCCTTGGTGGCTTATTAGTGAACGCTCCCCCCACAGCGTTCCTCCACCACGACCCTGAAGCAGCGTCTCTCCTCCGTCTGCTCACCTGTACACCAGAGAGTCGTCGTAGGTTCCGTTGTACTGGATCTGGAACATCCGTATTCCCGGGATGCTCCTGTGGAAGTTGAACTTGACCAGCGCCGACGTGGACGTGGCCTCGGCGATCACCACTTTCTTCTCCTGGCTCGTCTTGGCGTTTCCCAGAGGGACGACTCCCGCCTCCGCCCCCGTCTTGGTCACCGTGGCGATGTCCGACGAGCCGGGGTCGGGTTCCTGCTCGGCGATGGTGTTGTTGGTGATGTGAGGGAGCTTAGCGATGACCAGATCCACCGTTTGCTGCGCCTCTCCGGCCGGGTTGGAGGCCACGCAGGTGAAGGAACCTGCAACACAAACGGATTAGATTCTCCTGCAGCACTCAGGACCACACAGGCAATGAAATGACAGCAAAAAAGCACATCTTAGAATAGGAATAATACAGCACTTTAAAGGTTTTGTTGGACAAGAAGGTTGATAAAAACATCTGACGTACAATTTATTTATTTTTAAATGAATGCTGCCCTTATTAGACACTGACGCTCATCAATTAAAAGTATTAGAATCAATAATCAATAACAAAAAACAAGTGACATATAAAATCTTCAAATCTGTGAAAAATGGTCACTGCTGAGTCATAAACAACAATGAAAAAAATGTGTTTTTTGACAGTATTTAACTGTATATTTTTTGACAATTTACTGGTATTTTACAGATTTTTCCAGTTTTGTTAAATTACAGATAAATAGTAAAATCTCAAAGTATTAATTTACATGTTAACTGTAAAAAATAAAATAAAATAAAATAAATATATAAACTGTAGATGATGTCCATATCCAACATTTTTATTTTTCTAAATGCAATTTATGGTTGAATTAAAATACTCTTTCATGTCAAAGTGAACGCCAATTAATTAAAAATGTCATGTGATGCCGTAATTAACAAAAAATACCGTTAATTTTAAAGATATTTGCTTTCATTTAAAAGAAATTTGTATAATAAGGACAGAAAAACAGCACAGTAACTCTAAATATAAAGTAAAAATAATACATTTATTGTTAATTATATTATAATTAATCATTAATATAGCTTTTTTTGTCTTTTTATGGAATTATTTTTTCCAGTAAACATTGGACAGCTCAGTCCAGAAGAAAAGCAGCACTTTTAATTTTCATTATTATACTGACCGTCATCAATAATTTAGAACAAACAAATGAAGCTTTTTTTGTAATACGTTAAAGATTTTTGAGGGACGACGCCACAGTGGGCAGAGATGATTTTAAATAAAGTAACACAAAAAGCAGTGTTTTAATTATCTGTCTGATTATCTCACTTTATCCTAAATTAATTCCTCACTAATGTAGGTTATGAACATCTCAGGTTATGAGACATTACTTCTGTGTCAGTGTTTTAAATATCAATGATAATAATAAAGTTATAATTTGTCCAAGTACGAGTTGTCCTGGACTCATCAATTAAAGGTTAATTGGCAAAAACAACTAAAGTAAAATGTGTTACATAACATTTATGTTGTAGTTAAACCACAAAAAATTTAAAAACACAATTAATCTTATGCTTGAGAAACAAGTTTGTAGAAATCAAAATGATTTGTGAGGTAGTTTTATTATAGGAAAGCTGTTTTCTGTTACAATTAACATCTCAATGTGTTAATTAAGCAAATTCTTGTGTATTTATACAGATATTTAAAATGTAAGTATATATTTAAATAATCTAGACATTGTGTGGTTGGACAGAAACAGTCTTTGCATCAGTTCTCAGCATTTTTTTCTTGTCTTTGCACCATTTCTGCCTCCGTTCTGTGTGAATTTAATCTGAAGCAGCAGCCTTTAGCCTGTTAGCTTAGCTCAACATAAAGACTGGAAATGGTAGAAACCTCCGGCCCAGCTAACAAACTCCACTGATTAACACGTTTTATCGAGTCTGCTCATTGCCGTCACGTGAAGATGTGCAAAACTTCAGTGTTTTTATAAAAGCCGTGTTTGTCTCTGACTGCTCCAGAGATCAGGTCGCTTCCTTCTCCTGCAGATTTAGAAAAGGTCACTCGTGCTTTTATCTCCTCCAGACTCGACTGTTGCTGCACACTTTACTCTGGTAGCAGCAGGAGAAACATCCAAAGTCTGCGGCTGATACAAACACCGCCGCCGGGCTTTTAAACAGCAGCGAGGCGGCCACATTACGGCAAACCTCGGTGCCCTCCTCACAATACGGGAGAGTTTTGGAATTATTTTAAGGTTTTATTGCTTGTTTTTAAAGCCTCGAATCGCTCAGAGTGCTGCCTGTATCTGCAGTCTGCTCGTGTCACCGGCAGAGACCTCAGCTGTGGAGCTCGCTCAGGCAAGAACACTCAGCAGCTCTCAAATCTCCTCATTTTCATCATTTAGCTTCTCAGTAACAGATGCTGATTTGTGCTTTTTACTTATTTATAGCTTAAGTTTCAAGCTCTTATTA